ACTGAATTTCGGCGTTGCCTCTCCAGGAAAGCTTCCCACAGTTTGGCGCCCCTGCACACCACACAGAGGCACCAATTCAGCATGGCGCAAATCGATGTCATTCAACTTAGTCAAGCCATATTCCCTAAACCAGGACTGATGGGCTCCAATTATGGAGGTGTGCGCATGTTCTCCGCATGCTGTTATAATCTTACCCTTGACACTGGAGAGGTCATCCAGCATTTTGCAACACCATGGCCTCATTAGCCCCCACAAGAACTGTGCGCAGCCAACAAGCAAACTTCTGTTTTTGTGTTGTTTCCTCAACAACAACTTGCATTAGCTTTTCCAAGGTTCTCGAACAGCCAACAGCTGATGCTGCTTCACACCAGAAAGGAACTGGCAGGGTCCAACCCATGCTGCGCTGTGCACATATGTGTTGCATTGTGTTCGTGCGCGATCTGTTCCATGGCAACAGGTTTGGCTGCTGTTCACTACGCCTGGGGATCATGTGCACCATCGCAGAGATGCGCACTGGGAACCCTCCTTTCACCCTCACTTGTTCGCATCGCTGAGCTGCTTTCGGTCGAGTATCCACACGCTGGCAACTGTGGGTCTCTGTGGACCTGTGCAGGCACAATGATCGTCACCGACACTACCAAGGCCATTACCATCTCAAGGTGCAAGAGTGTTGCTCTGTCTTTTGCAGGCAAATTCTATCAATGAAATTTAGCTATCAAATGCCCCAGTGGAATAACCACAGACAGCAGCACAGAATGCCACAGTTTAGGAACAAGAAAATGAGCTCAAAAACTTGTTTGAGTTTGCCAATTTTCGGTCCATTGCATACTCTGTGTGCAACACACTGCCACTTCACTCAGTCTGTGCATGCACTGCATGGGATTACACAGGACCTATAAAACAAGCTTCTGCGACAAACTGTTACAGAACATGTGCCATCAATACTGAGCACAAGTCTCCCACGAGATCAGCAGAGGCATTCCCTTCTGAGCCTGGCATTCTCCAGCCCAGGATGGCGATACAATGGCCTCCAATTGCAACAGTACAGTCAGAACAAAACCACAACCCAGGCAAATGACAGCGCAGTGGTCCTGATGGCAAGAGATGTTTTGCCCATCGGCAAAGAATACGGCAGGACTGAGCCCTCCGATGACAGCATGGCCACGAGTGTTGCCTCCAATTGATAGTGACTTCCCGCAACAGAACCAGTAACTGATGTGTCTTGCTCGAGCCCATCGCCTCCCATGCTTTTGAATTGTGGGGGTTGCAAGGCGGCAATCGACTGGACAGGGTTCCATCTATGCATGCTGTCCACTCAGAAAACCAAGGCACGCAGGACTTGCAAGGGAATCAATTCGGAAGGCTGCCAAGAAATCTTCCAGTCCCAAGTTTGAATCCAGGTGGGTCCACACTCCTTGTATGGCCTATATCATCTTTTCACAGCATGGAAAACAGCCCCGCACACCCTTTGCATGACCTGCTTCTTTCTCTCTTTGTTACAAATTTTACACCTCGTGGGGCCCAACTGGAGCTCCAAAGGTCTCCATTCAGGGAAGCCACACACTGAACGTGGGAGACGGCCACAAGGGGAGGGCAGCTCAAGGCCTGTCAAAAGTCGTCCTCTCAAAAAGCCAGAACATTGTAGGCACAAAGAGGCCATCGATTGAAGAGGGTGGCAAACACCCCCAGTGGGCCCTGAGCTCATGTTCCAAGGCTGTCCGCTCAGGGAAACCTTGCAGACATGGCATGGGCCGGCCTGATGGGTGAGAACAGCCTGGGCCTGTCGAGTTTCAGGTTCAGAATGTCAAGCTTAGAAGAGTTTAGAGTGTTCAAAGTTGAGAAGCAACAAGGTGCCTGGCGCGTGAAGGAAGGTAATTTGATTGCCTTATCTGCCTTGATGAAATTGATAGGCGAGGAGTCCTGGCACGGTCAAGTGGCCATTCCCCACGTCCCCATCGGAGGGCATTGGCCTAGACTTGCCAAATCGTGCTTCAGGGCCCTTCCCAGGAGGCTCTTCCAAAGCCCCCAAGATCGGTAAATCGATGCGGGAAGGCGTGACGATCGCCATCACGCCGATTCGGCCACGGATCGCCGTTCACCAAGGGGCCCTGCCAATGCCTTTCGAGCTTGACGCGCCGGCTGGCGCCCTCTCGCACGAGTAAGCCACCTCAACAAATCGGCGTCCACCCTGGCGCCTTGGCCAGATGCAAACTGCCCCACGCAACAATATGGTGCCGCCCACACAAACTCAAGCTGTCGGCATCTCCGCGAGTGAAAATTGATCGGGGCCATGGCGCGCAGCGAGTCGCCCGTCAATCCTCGCCTTTCAACTCTGACAGCCCAACGCGCTGAACAGCACGCTCTCCTTCAAAGCAGTCAGCCGCAATCGGTCGCTCTCGCTGCGCCAATAGCTCTGTGTCGGGTGCCCACCCCCTCCACCTCCCTCTGCGACTTCACCGTCACCCACGCAGTGCGACTTCTCGCGAGATTCCCCCGCAGATGCGTGCTGCCCTATCGCGTTCCGAAAGGACACAGAAAGAAGGAAAAGCATCCCCGACAGCGTTTCGGTTTTCCAAGCGCCGTTCGCATTGAAGCGCGCCGGCCAGATCCCTTTTCTCGCGGCTTTGGCGCCGTGCGGCAAGGGGCCCACCGGCACACCACGCCCCTTGGCGCGGACACTTTTTCCACCGAGCCAACAATGCATTCGCGTCCACGAAACCAATACACGCAGAGCATATCCCAACCCCTTCCCCCTCCCTCACGCCCCTCGACCGAGCACACCCCGCGATGGTCTCCTTACGTGACCGTCGACGACGGGCATGAGAACCCACCCACCACCCATCGCCTCGGGACAATCTCCACAATCTGCTTCACAGCATGGCGAAGGGTCTCACACACTCCCGTTTTGGCCGGGCGCCCCAATCGCACGATGTGCTTTCTTTCCGTGCGCAACAAAACGTCCTCCCCCACCCACCCGGCAGCACAAGCACCCTTGCCCATATTGTGCACCCATTCCCTCCCAATCAATCCTTGGCTCCTCCCTTGCGCGGAGACCCCACATAATCTCCTCGCAGCGTAGCAAAGAGCCTCGCGCACACTTGCTCAGGAGAGGGCGCCCTTCGTGCGGCCCCTTCCTCCTTTCCATAACAAATCCCACGCACAAACTCTCCCTCCAATTCCGTACCTTCCTTCTTGGCATCTGCCGCCATGATCTCCTCTCAGCATGGAAAAATAGCCTCGCCCACAGTTGCTCAGGAGAGGGCGCACTTGGCATCCCCTTTGTATGTACGACCCCGCCTCTCTTTCCACAACAAATCATACGCACAACGACGGCCTCCAATTCCGCACCTTTCTTCTTCACATCAGCCGCGAAGACCTTCCACAGGCCCTCCGGCCCCGCCGTGGCCACCTGCCGCCCCACCGAGTAGTCCCTCAGGCACTTGGGCGCGAAGTTGATCTCATCTTTCGCCTGGATCGCCAAATCCTTGGCCGCGCTCGCGGCGCTGGTCACCGCCTTCTTGAAGGCGTTGCCCAGGCCCAGCGACGGCATGGCACCCGGGAAGAGGGCCCCGGGGCCCGCTTCCTTGGGGGGGGGGGCGCCTGCGGCCTGGGTGTCCAAGGCCTCGGATGGCGGGAGCTGTCGGGAGGCGCCAGACGGGGGTATTTGATTGGTACAGCAGGGGTCCCCTATATAGCGCCCCCCGTGACGTGACACGGCCAAAAAGGGGGCGCTATTGGGGGCCGGGGGGGGGGAAATTCTATTTATTTATTGCATTTAATTGTAGTTTTAGTCGTAAAATAATGCTCCCCATCATAAGAAGACGCAAAATAGACCCATTAACCTTGTTACGGCCTGTTGAGATGCCAAATTGACCCATCACACGCGTGCACCATGTGCCATTGTGTTACAGCAGTGGAACACCGTGTTTGGGGCTTGGATTTATGTTACACGGTGCCTGTCACAACTCATCACGTGGACTTGCACGGCGTTGCCCGCATCATGAATGCGGATTGCGCCCAACCAGGCGTGGGCCCATCACACCGTAGAGAACGGGGGATAACGGCCTCCCGCGTTGAGCATTCTGCAAATATCCGTAACGCGGGGGGCTCTATGGATGGAGTACCCCCCGCGTTATCCAACGTTGGCCCCGTGTTAACGCAACAATTGAGGCACGGCGGCCACCATCCAAACAAATTGTGGGCGGCCGCCCACGCCCCCACTGTGAGGTGTGCCGCAAAACACCTCCTTGCGCAGCTTGCACCACCCACACACGCCGGTTAAGACGATCCTACGCAGTGCTGCGAGAGCCCATTCCATAGTCAACGCCGGTCAACGGCCCAGCACCAGACGTGCCGTCCGCCGATATGCCAAGTTCGCGGAAACGGTCGGCCGCCGCGGCGTCCGTCCACCGGACACCTCTCTTGTGTGTCCACAATAGTAGTTTGAGGTCCCACTGCGCAGCCAAGCTGCATAAAGTACTACAGAAATGGCGACAAGCCAAAAAGGGTGCGCTATTGGGGGGCGCTACATAGGGAACCCTATTGTATGCGGAAAACGTATGGATACATATCGTTGTGCACGAAGATGTGTCGATATGCATCGATGTGCGTCGATACGTGCACCTGCTTGCGGGTGTTTGGTGGTGTTTTCAGTACGGTGTCGCCGATACGGCGTCATCGCAGAATGGGGGTATCGCATTGGTATGTGGAAGTCACGTCGATGCACATCGATGCATATCGGTATCCGCCGAAGTGTATCGATAAGCATCTGTGTGCGTGTCTGCATCCAGGGGGGTTTTGGTGTTTTTGATGCCGTGACCTCTGGGGAACGACAAAGCCCTGGCGCTCCGAGCTTTTTGTTGATTGAAATTGCAGTCTGCTGCGGTTGTTGACATGCCTTGCACAATGGCAGCTCATTGTCCGGGAGCTATAGGGGAGGCGCGTGACAGGTTGTCAGATTAGCATGCACGAAACGTATCGATGCATAGCGATACCTATCGATACGTATCGTTAGGTATTGGTGGACATCGATGTGTATGTCTGCATGGGGGTGTTCGGTGTTGTTTTCGAATCTGTTACCTTGAGGAGCGGTGTACCGATGCGTATCGGAACGTATCAATATTTACTGATGTGCATCGATATGCATCGATGCGTGTATCCACATCCGGGGTGTTGGGCGGTGTTTTCGATGCTGTGGACCCGGGGGGCCGATAAATACTTTGCGTACGGGGCATTTTGTGCGCCGACATAGCACTGTTTTTCCCATTTGAAGGGACTTGCACCCATTGGGCTCAAGGCACAAGCAGCTTGGCAAACATCTTGTCGTCCGGGAGACTGCAACTCCAGCAAAAGCTTGCAATGGTGGGGACCTCTTCACAACAGTTGTGTAAAGTGGTGTCATCTCCGCATCAGATAGGTTACTTTTCTGTTCTCTTGTACTGCCTAGTAGGCAAGGTACGACTGTTTGGGATTGGACTAATTTAGCTGAATTGCTGGGCGGGTGGATCTGTGGGGAAGATTGGATGAACGTCAACGTGGAGGATGCGTCTCAATAAGAGGGCGGAGTGTGAGCTTTCGAACTCAAGCAATATACTTCAATTTGGAGGAAATGGGCTCTAAACAATGCATTTGGATTTGAACAACCGCAAACCAACTGAATTTCTGGCAGTGTGTGACGAATTCTGCCCCGAAAATATAGTAAATGCCTCGCGCAGCTTGCAGATTCGTATGTATTCCCTGCTTCTGTGATCCTTACAGTAATCTTGCATCGTTGCATTGTGTCTCGACATGCTTCAAACTTTGAATGCACATAATATTTTGAGGGGAAAACGTGGCGCAGGGCTCTAAGCACCGTGGTGCACGACGTTGCTGTACCGTTTTTCTCCAGAACGTGCGGTTTGGGCCCAGTTTTGCCACAGCAAGCAACTGTGAAAAATGGATAAGTTTTGGCCAGCATGAGGAGTTCGCCGCCCGCAACATGGACGCCACGCAATGTACGCTCACAAAGTTGAACGAGTTCTGAATTTATACACGTTTAGACAAAAGTTCATCATGTAATACGAAACGTATTTAAGAATCTGTTGAATCTGAAGAAGTTTAGTCTGTCAGATACCGTACCGCTGGTTGGATACTTCGGCTGGACTTCATCCGTCGCATAAAAGACCAAGCATTGGTCATAGGAAAGCAAGGGGGTCCCTTTTGTTAAATTCTATTTTCTTCGCTGAACGAAAACTGAAATGAACTTGGCCGCCAATTGGGAATTGTTGAATTTCAACACCCTGCCATAATGTACTGGCAAATTACTACAAAAACATTCAGTTCTACACCAATTGCGCCCGAAATAGCGTTTGAGGCAAAATATAGGACGGTCGGACGCGTTGCGATGTGAAGGCGAGGCCAATGTGGCATCTTGTCGTACACCATGGGAAAGAGCACTCATTCTCCAAAATTTAAAATTTGGCACGGCACGTAGTACTTTAGATAAAACTTAGTCCACTGTATTATACCTCAAAAACTTATACATGTTGCTTTGGAAATCTCTGCCATTGGATATGGACAGCTCTCCTGTACACAATTTGCCCGAATGGAACTTGAAAGGGGACGGAAAGCCTGAATGGACACACAGGTCACGCCGCACTGAACCCAGATCTTTAGACAGCGTCTGATTTCCTCAGATCCACAATGATCCCCACGTTCCAGGTGAAACGGCCTACTCCACACGTATTTAAAACACACCGCTGGCTCGTGCTCAATTGCGCACGGCCCCCTCGCCATTTCGGCCACACCCGCCGTGCAGCCAAGAGCTGATAGCGCTATCAGTCGAATGTCTCTGAACATGCCCCCGCCATCTGCCTAGCGTGTGCCTGCCCAGCCACGTCCGCGGTCTCCAACATAGCACATGGCCTCGTTGCAACGAAACACAGCTTCGGTGTCAGTGCATCTATGGAACGGAGCAAGGCCTGACCGACAAATGCCTGGATTGACGTGCGGCGCTTCTTGATGAGTCGAAATTTTGAGCTTGATGGCATGACTGACCTGCAATTCGATCTTGCATTGAAAAATTTTGCCATTGCTGATCAATTGATTAGCTGGTGGATTGGATGCAGATCGACTGGTGGATTGATGCATTTGATGATGATCGAACGATGACACAGTTTCCAGGGAGAACAGGATATCATCTCTCCCTGCTTGCATTGACACGCAAAATCTGGTGGATGAAATATGAATATCCGATCATTATTCTTCACCATAAATAGAACTAAACGTAAAAATGGAAGGAGGGGCAGTCAATTTTCTATCTTGCCCCAGCAGAGCACTGCCCACGATCTCTAATTGAAGTCCAATGTGCAACGCAAACAAATTCCAGAATCCACCCATCCTTAATTTGCCACGAACTTCTGCAGCCATTCACAATCTTTTCCTCTCGATTGACGATCGCCAAATGCCTAGAATTGTCCGGGGAGCTCCAAATTAGCAATTGACGGATTCTGGAGTTTGTCTCTTCTATACGAAACAGACTTCAACGCACAAATGACTGACACTGATATTTTGAACAAAACAGGAAGTTGACGGCCATCTCCTTGCCTTGTTAAGATGTTAGTCGTTTAAGGCATCTAGAACTTCATGACCATGGGGAACACTTTTCTTGGACAGAGCAGCAGACTGACGGCTGCCTCCTTGCCTTGCTATGTTACTGCTCTTACGTGAAACGGCCGGCTGCTCCCACCCTTTGGGGCAATCAGCCGCGCTCACACCGGAAGTCCCAATCAAATCCCATTGGTGCAAATACACTAATGTACAAAGAGAGAAATCCGGAACTCGGGCATGACAGTTTTGCCTTTTCGGTCTGCATGTCCCTATTCACCAGGCAACAAAGAAGATGACGGCCATCTCCTTGCCTTGTTAAGATGTTCGTCGTTTAAGGCATCTAAAACTTCATGACCATGGGGAACACTTTTCTTGGACAGAGCAGCAGACTGACGGTTGCCTCCTTGCCTTGCTATGTTACTGCTCATCACAATAGCTAATTATTACGTTATTATGTCATTACAATAGTTGACTTTTGAACAATTAAATATTATGTTATTGCTCATTTGTATCATCGAATACCGGGTTATTGCTCATCAATTTTGTCCAAAATTGATGATGACCACGGGCGAACCGGCCCATGGGCCAGGGGTCCCGGATGGGACCCCGCCACGCGGCCCCCTCGGGCAGCCCCTGGCTCGCTGGCGGCCTCTGCGACTGCCACCGCGACTGCAACATCTGCTGGACCACTCTCTTCTGCCCCTGCGTCACCTTCGGCAACTCGCGCCTACGCCTGTACGGCGGCGCGAAGCTGCCGGACAGCTGCGACCCCTGCTGCTTCTACTGCCTGGTGTGCTGCTTCGTGGGCTGCGAGCAGCTGTTCGCGTTTGGGACAAGGACGGAGATCCGCGCAAAGTTTGGGCTGCGGGAGGAGCCGTGTTCGGATTGCTGCGTGCACTGCTGGTGTCACAGGTGGTGAAATATGTGGAAATTGTCATTGATGTTGACAACATTGCCCTTCAA